TAGAGTGAAGTTTGAGAGTTGTATCCTCAAAATGTAAGTTTATTCACAAAACAGACATTGTAAACTAGTTAGCGATGTAATTTTCTTGGTAAAGGCTGTGATGGGTTTCTACACGTTCTTCAGTGAAGTTCAGAAATATGTGAAATAGTATATTATTTGTGAGGATCTAGTCTATTCGTTGTCGATCGATAGAGAGTCACTTCTATGACCCAGGCAAGGTAGTAGGTCTAGACTTCCGAACATACCAAGCAAAATTCAAGTTTACATTCATCACATAGTTTTGGTCGGAAAGAGGGAGTCATAAGTAAGGCCTGTGTACGAAAAAATGAGCCTTTCGATGCAAATTCAAAGCCGACCGTTATTAGATTTAAACGTCAACAAAAACCCATTCGACAATATAAGGACGAACGAAAGCTTCAACGTTCGCCGCTTTTTGCGTAACCATGATAAGAAGTGTGTTTTATTTGTGTAACGAAGTAAATGTGGTTTATATTGCAAATGGATGATTCATGAATACGAGTGAAGTTTTTATATGGGAGGCCTAAACAAAAGACGACAAAAATTATCACTAAGGGCTGATGATTTGCATAGTGTTGGCATTAAAAAAAAAAAAGCGTGGCTCATTGAAGGAATACATGTAAATGCAAAATGGTGGAAAATTTGTATGTTCTGATTATCTAAGATAATGAAAATTAGTGTTTGCCACGAATTTAAGTCTAACAACTGTAATTTCTTTGCGGCCAGATCTTGCCACTAAGCGCGCTTTAAACAAACGTGATATAACAGTTTCAGCCAGTTAAATTTCTCATTTCATATTTAGGGCTTTAAAGTTGGTTGTTGGGGGGCTCATAGTTTGGTTACTGCTTTTATTCATGTGGTGGCTCCTAAAGGAGCCGTTTGTAATTCGAAGGGAAGTCCATTTACGCTCGTTCTCCGCGGATTCGGCGGGCCAACTGAATGTCCTTGGGCATGATCGTGACACGCTTGGCGTGGATGGCGCACAAGTT